TCGAGGTCGGCACCAAATGGTTGGGATTGTAATGGCCATCGGATCCGTGGTTTTGATTGTTGTTTTGATTCTTGTTCTTGGATTTGGTGCCAAAGAACGGGTTCGGCAGCACATCCTGCTGTGAGTGATGGTCAGCACCGGTATGTCTCGTGTCATGTCTCATATACTACTCACCAACTTATTCTTCTTGTTCTTCTTGCCGTCTTTGGACTTAGTGTTGTGATTGTCACTCATTTGAAGGGATTTGTGGTTCACATGAAGACTTGAAATAACTTCTCAACAAATGGCGAAACACTAACTAATAGTGAATTAGTGGTGAAGTAGTGGTGAACTGATTGTCGAGTGAATCGGTGGACACAAGTGATGGCCAATTGGGCCACAAATAAATGACATCCGTTTACAACATTCACAACAATTTGTTGAGAAACTACACTATTTTTACGCTTACAGTCAAAACACTGAGCCCTTCACCACTGTATTTCTGCACCGATTATCGTAATGGTTACTCCAGTCTCACCGCATATGCTGTCACGCTATTGTACGCTAATAGTGCCCCCCAATGGCCCCCTTCACGCCCAACCCTATGCTAATCGTATGGCAACGTAGCGATCGCTTACTGCATAGCCAGCGATAATTGTATGTTTGAGACGACAGCCAAAGTGTTGATATCAGAAATATTTTTCATAAAAGTTAAACACAATTTTCATATCAAGAAATCAAATTAATCTTGCACTACTGTCAATCAAATTGGCGTTTAATATGATATCAAACACTATAGTTGTTTGACATTCACTCTGCACACAGCATTGTTTTGCTGGCGACTGACCTTCACATACAGTGTGCCATACAGTCACTCACACATAGACTGCACTGTAATCCTATAGACACTTACGGTAAGCCTAAACGTAACGTAAGCTTACAGTTAGCGTTCACTGGCTGTCAGTATCACACAAATTGTCTGTCATTCACGACATATGATAACCGATTGCAGTGACTGATCGTATCGATGGCGGGATCAGCTCTGCGGCGGCTGATGGCTGAGTACAAGCAGCTGACACTGAACCCACCGGAAGGGATCATCGCCGGCCCTATCGATGAGGAGAACTTCTTC